ATAGATGAATATAATTATAGTAATAAATCAAGAAGAAGTAGAAACTATTACTATAAATGGCCAATATGGCTTAACAATTAATCTAAAGTACTCAATATACTAATATTGTTTTTTGATACCATACCTATTCTTATTTGCACCAAACATTGTAGGTTATATGTTAAAAGACTCCAAATAGACCATTTAAGGATTATAATTATTGAACAATTCAACAAACAATAATTAGATATTTGTCAATAATACCGCCTTATTTCTTATATAAAATCCAAATAACTTCATTAGATCAATGCTAACAGTCAATTAATATTATAATGCCTCAAAAGCCAAAGCCAACTGGCATAAGACATATACAATGTAAGCCTTTCCAAAACAATATACATGATAAAAGGATATAGACCTCAACCCAATCTAAAAAATGAAAGAAGAAATAATATAATATTTATAATTCTTAATTGGATACAAAATAAAAGAAAAAAACTACAGCAAGAAAGTCTTGCAATTGATTACAAGGTAATTAATAAAATTTAGAATTAAAAAATTCTCTCTAGCCGATTGACTTCTAACAATCAATTAAGTGATATTGGCTTATATATGGTATATGATATCATGTACAAGTATTAATGAAAAAATCATTAAATAAGTACAAGTCTTTGTGTGCAACTACTTATGTTGTAATATAATCACTAGAAAAATTAGGACCAAAGTTTAAAAAAGATATTATTATCTATTCAAAAATATGAAGAAAATTAAAGATTTTTTATTTGAAAGCTTAAGCCAAAGCCTTAGTGGCAAAACTTATAGCTTAGAAACTCACCGTCAAAATGAAGCCATGAAAAATCTTCTTTTGAGACAAAATGAATTCAACTTACTACTCTAAATATGAAACTTTGTATCTCAATGTATACTAGTTGATTGAAATCAATCTATCAACTAATTTAGAAGGCTTCCTACTATGGTAAAATATAAGAAAGAATTCACAAAGCTTATAATTTGGTCTCATTTCTACTCTTCTAAAATATAAGAATAGAATCTTTTATCAATAAATTTGTAGCAATCTACAAATATTAGATGTAGAAGGTTAAATGTGGAGGACATATAAAGTTCATTGATTTATATTTTAATCACAAAAGAAAATTCACTCCCTTTCTAACATCTAGGATAAAGATACATATAATTGGTATACTACATCTTAATTTAGATACCAAATCAATAGCACAACAAAAAAACTATAAAGATATCAAATTCTTGGTTTTATACCATGGCATCTAAACAATGTAACATCTTACATGTTGTGGAATTGATAGACCATTGATGTTTGAAGAATTGTAGTTGAAGTGTGCCACATACAAGGCCTTGTTGAATGAAAATTATAAGATACCAAATATATATCTATACTATTAGAGGAACTTGAACCAATCTAAGAAGGAGACTTATATTTTGGAAAAAAAAAACTATTGAAGGTATAAGTAGCCATCAAAAATATAAAATACAAAATCATAGGTTTTAATTGAGATAGACATTATAACCCCATGAATCTTTGTGACTTATAAAAGAATGTCCAATTTAGCACCTAACCTTTGATCCATCAAAATAACATTGGCCAAAGCAACAAAACCTCAAGACTATACATATTTATAACTACTCAATACAAAAAAGGTATAGAATTGGCAATGGCAATAAGATACTAATACTAAAAAAAAAAAAAAAACTTAAACTTAAAGCTCACCACTTCAAGGATGAACATTGTAGGTTATTCTATAGAACATTATAGCATCCATGGATACCTTAGAAGGTGGTTGTCATGGAGTAGCTCACCTTAATAAAAGACATACTCGTAGATGTATGGCACCAAGTTATGGTAATGGACCTCCAATGTTGTCTTTACAATACAAGAGCCAAAAAAATAATTCAATATATCTTTTGAGATTGTCCTATTGTTAAGTCAATATGAGACTTATACAACAACCTTTGCAATTCAAATCAACTACTTCATCTCAATAACAATATACTATATCAATATATCCTAAAACAAAATACTATACAATAACCTTAAGCCAACAAATTGACAAACCTCACAATCCTCACAAATATCATTAGAATCAATATAGACACCTCTTAAATTTTCAAGATGTTCATATTGTAGAATGTTTGGTGCATCAAATGTAGCTTCAATACAAACAAAGTACCCTACTATTTCCACCAAGTACTCTATAAATCCTAAAAAATGATAATAAAAATTGGCTTAAAAGCTTGTAGAAAGATCTGCAGCCATATTAGATCTCTATTAGAATAAAACCAAAAAGACAAATTATTCTATGCCACATCTATCAAATATAATAACTATGCCATCTCAATGCTGCTTCAAAAAAAGATGATAATTCCACCACAATTATTGCCATAAGAGTTAGATCTTTATGTAAGATAATAACAAATATGATTACTTCAAATCCTACATCTATCATTAAATAGTATAATAGATGAATTATTTGCAACAATCGACCCTTTTTGATAGAATCCACAAATGTAAGTACAACATCAAGTTTGTCAAGAATAAATACAAATGGAGTCAATCTTGTTAGAACTCATCACCACCACTTATAGCAATAAGATGTCAATTAAAACTTCAATTTATATTTTGCCAAAAACTATAACAATATTAGTAATTACAAACAACAAAGACAAAAAATTTATCCATAGTATAAATAGAGCACTCTACATGTGCAAGGTATGGATAACACTATTAGAATTGAAAAGATGACCAAAAGGAGCAAAAATGAGCATAGACATTATAGACAATATAACAAAAATATTTTAAGGTGTTAGGACTAAAATAATTGATAGGCCTTAGGATGTCAACACCACTTCACATTAAGAAACAAATACATAGATAGCCGTGACCGAGAAGACAAAAGTTGTTAAATAGCTAAGTTGCAAGGATAGCTCTACTATGCACTGTAGCAAAACAAATAGAATATCCAAATATGTAGCACACTGCCTACAAATTGTAGACTATAGTCCCATGACAAAGCGGACTACCATATTCATCAACCTCTAGATTAGAACCAAGGACTTTTTTCAAACCAATGCAAATTGCATGACAATGTATGATACTTTTTTGATTGTAGTACAAAATTCGGTTCTACCTTCACTTATATGTATTTAGCTCCATATGAAATGACAACAAGTAGTTGAACAAAGTCCAAAGATCAACAATAGCCCAAAATAATGATAGATAAAGGCTTCAACTAGAATAATAAAGTATTAAAACATAATAAGACTTAACTACATACTTTACATCAAGAAACATATGTCGTGGCCTATCGATATATGCCAATCCACCAATATTGGTTGCACAACATAGAATGAGTCATGTGCACCTCAAAATGTCTTAACTTCTCATATACTTGCCATACTAATAAAGCTCTTTGATTTAACTTTAGAACTATGTGCCTAATTTATCAAACTACATATAAAATAATATTTTTTTCTAACAAAACAATGATTTTTATATAAGATGTATATATATATATATATATATATATATATATATAAAGATATGTATGAATTTTATATCAATTTTATATATCAATTTTATATCAATAATATAAAAAATATTATAATAAATAATATAATTATTTTTGTAATATTTAGCTATATATTTAATATTTTATTATTAAATTATTTAATAAATAAATAAATAAAAAATATTTTTAGTTTTTAAGTGCTAAAGTGAAAATAATAAAATTAAATTAAGGAAATAAAAAAATAAAAATAAAAATTATAAGTTGAAATAGGTCATAAATCATATTTTATTTATAATATTATTTTTAGAAAAAATTGAAAGATAATAATATTGAAGTCTAATATTATAAATAATTCATAAAAAAATATTATTTATAATATTAGACTTCAATATTATTATTTGAACACAATTATCAAGCTTAAGAATCATGCAAAATCACTTTTAACAAAATATCAATTTTTAATTGTAATATGGATTAAAGATATTTCTATTTTTAAATGATATTTTTGATATTAAAATGAATATGATTAACTGAATTTTAATGGTTGATAAGTATTTTTATGAGAAATATCATACCTATACTTAACTTTGTCAATAATGATTTATACTAATTAGAGAATTATTGTCTCTAAGTACTAACCAATAATTTTTTGTAAAAAACATAATTTAATAATGATTTTTTTATATGTAAAAATCAAGAATTAAAAATTATCGTTACAAAAAAATCGAATCAACCTGTAAAATAATTGTAATTGATTTGATTTTTTTACAAAAAATACTTTCAACCTGTGTTACTTGTGTGTTTTATTTTTTTAATTTTATATGATTTCAATACAGCTGTTAAGATTCTTGACATATTACTTCAAAGAATACAAAAAGAGGCGACTATATGTTTATTGTTTTTGCAAAACTTATTGACCAAAAACTACATTTTTGCCTGCAATAAACCACAATGTTGAGAAATTTTGAAATTTTTCATGGGTGATAAAAGTTCCTGATATTTGCCATATAAAAATCTCTAAAATTCCTAAAAACGATTTCACTAAAATTTTAGAACCTAGAGGTATTTTTTGTTTCAACTGCACCTGTTCACCACAACTAGTGAAACCATAAGGTTAAGTTTGAAGATTTTTGTTTCTAGCTAGATTTGAGACAGATCTTGTTTGGTTTTTATACACATGGACAATAACTAAATAATAAGAGAAATGTATTATTTTTTCCCTCAATGCACTAGAATAACCAGAACAATTTTCATACAATCTATTGGGTTATCAACACTACGATTCATAAGCAATGAAGAAGAACTGTGATTTGCTTGCAAGAAAAATTCATCGTAAACTAAGCACAATTTTCTCGAGTGCAACACTATTCTCATACATGTTTGATCATACCAACAATGAGACCATAGCCAGTAGTTGTTCCCACTGTTTCTGTATACGTGCTGCTACACATTGTAACATAATGAAAACAACTGTCATTCAGCAAAATCAACAGCACCAAGCTGATCCTTGTTATATACAAATTGGAGCCAGTACATTCAACAGAAATAAGTAAAAAAATGTGCAAACAAAATAAACAATATTTGCAAACTACGATGCAGTGTTTAGGACGAGTACCATGAAACTATGTCACGATAAAACCTCACCATCAGTCTACCTCTGGGCACAATGTGATGTTGATCTTTTGCTCAGACGTGCTCACAACCACTCTAACCTTGCATGAGAATTGCTTGGCAGTTAGCAACTGATGATAGAAAAATATCAGTAATGGGTGCCAGGGGTCAATGTTCATCAGGTTGCAAACCAGCTCTATTTACGGGTGCATGAATGGGGCCGCGAGTACGATCGCCCGTGTCTAATAAGCGCTTCACTCTCTTCTTAGCACAAAACTGACGGTCAAATTGTTTTACCTGCAAACAAACACATCAATGGCAGGTATCAGAAACCGTAGAGCATGTGCAGACACAAGAGGCAAACATCGTAAACCCAATCGTAAATAATTGTGTTAGGGGATCACTCACCCAAGTCGACCGAAAATTCTGCTCGTATGATGCCCGTGCAGGTTTGCACTGCTTTGGGTAGAGAAGTCCAGCCGACGCAATTTCTGTTGCTGTTGTGAGACCAGAATCATCTTCTACGCAATTGAAAAATACATCCCGTGCCTGTGTTACTCCAACAGGAAAGCCTCAGTTTGAATGTGTGCTTCTTAACCAAAAAGAACTCACCCTAAAAATGCAGAATGCAAAGTCAGCATTTGAAATTGCTATTAAGCAAAACCAAGTCGAGCACAGGTTGACTTCATCTGGTGATAATTGGACCAAAGAAAGCCCGATCCCGTTCAAGTTCTTGTCTAATGCTCCGCAGGATACTCTTCTCAGCACACATTACACTGCCGGCTTGTGAAAATTTACAGCATCGAGCAACGAGTAAGAAGCCAGTCGACTAGGACTTTGTGTAGAGACTCTTAAGACCTTCGAGAACAATAAGTGGGGTGATCCAGCTGCATATCGGTCATTTTCTGACAAGAAAGATACGTGCATCGGCAATCGTCCCAATTTTATTTACAATTAACTAGAAAAAATTTTGAGGGTGTTTTCCTTTCGGGTGTCATTCACCTCTTGGAAGGACAATGCATACTCGTCTACGCCACGAAGGACCTTGAACCCCGGCAATCTTGAACTACGAGAGAGGATTTCCGACGGCCCAGAAGTTGAATCCGAATGAAACAAAATCCGATTCTCTAAAACATAAATTATATAACACGGTCCAGGATTTGCATGATTCTTGAGGCATATATCAGAAATGACGACAATTGTTATTTTAAAGGCCATGCAAAAGGGCATCAGCGAGAGCGAGAGGAAAAGGCCAAGGCAGTGGATTAGAAGAAAAAAGCAGAAGAACAGGCCACTTATCAAAATCATCAAGAGCGGCGGTCCAAGCTGGTGAGCTGTTCCGAACTCATAGCAACAAAGAGGCAGATGACGAAATTACGTCAAACCTTGTAGCAAGCAGCCCGCCCAGCTGCAAGAACATCTTTCTCGACATGAGACTGCTCCTGTGTTGCGAAATTTCCAGATTCCATGTCTTCCTTTAGTTGCTCGTCTATAACCCCACTACACTTGCTCCACGATCATTATACCGTTCACGAAATCTCCTCTCCTTCTGCCTCTGCTTCTGCCTCCCTCAGCCCAGTTTCTTGGGTGAGCGCCGCAAAGCTTCGATATCTGGCACTCAAGCACCACATTACAATCAATCTTTCAACAATCTCGTCGATGCTCTGTGAGGAAATTGAATGGGAATCCCTTCTTCATTACTGGAGCTCGAAAGGGTTATCATATTCATCGAATCTAGCCTTCCAACAGTTCCTCAACTCAGCATACATCCAAACATGCCGCTCCTAGATTCTGTTACATGATGAAATCGGCCCAGCAATTTGAAGCCGGCACGGTTGGAGGATTAATTGAGGAAAACCAGCACCCACCAAAGGAATTAGTGTCTTCAACTTCTACAGCTTCTTATGTCCGCTACTTCTGCAGTTTCTCACGGCTTGAGTTAGGGCTTCCATGTTCCATTTCCGAACAGAATCAAATATTTCCTCGGTGAACACAGGATAGGTAGCCAAGGTCATGAGAGCAACTCTTACAGGACATAGCATTTTCGAGTTTTATGAGCTCCAGCAATCAGTCAGCCGGACACTCAGTCTCACGTCTTGTCAAAGTCATTTCCCTCTCATATTTCTTCCAGATCTGGATATGGCGCTTTACACCCATTCTTGTTTCTCTAAAAACTGCCGGAATACTGCTGAACTAGCCATGTGGGGAGGGACTATGCTGCCGTTTCCACCAGTCCTCATGTGCGATCTTCATTGTTACCCGTGATTCCGAATTAAAATCTTGACGTGGAGTTCTCGATGGTATTCAATTCCTCCCTGTTTGACTCAATCGAATTGCATGTCCATGCAGTGGAGGTTGTGCTTCTGTTTTTTTCTTTTCTGTATTTTCTTTTTCCTGCTCCTGTTTTGTTACCCACAGCCGATTGTGAAAACCGTGGATCTGGAGTAGTAATTCTTAGTTGTTTGTCCAGATTGATGATCAATTTGAACGCACAATACAAGTGTTTCTAATCTTTCCAGTGGAGCTGTTGTGGCACCTCAAATCTATGCACTTCCACAAATATATATTATTTTATTTATATATGTATGGGGAATGATAAAGTGGCCCAAATTTTTACTAAAGCAACCCACTCTAAACTATCATTGCACCCTTTGTTCCCTATCCTCATTCCCCATGTTCTAACCCCTTCTTATTTCCAATTCCCCATAGTGAGTAATTGTTGTTGTCCTCCCAACTCCTAGTTTTGATATTTGATTCAAATCTAGCTGTGAATGTTACCACACTCCGCACTTCAACAATATTGCTTTGTGTTGTAAAATAATCCTACAAAGAAATAAGCACACAACAATGGTTGATCATTCAAAGCAAGGACCATGCATTGAAAGCATTTCAACTAAACAAAGCCCTTAGCAAAATCTAAGAGCTACTGCTATATTGCCAATTACACAAGAGTCATGCAATGCTTCAACTGTGAGAGATCTTGAGTAGTAATGAGCAGTTGGATTCTTATACTTCATGGGATTGCTACAAAATTGAATTCCTTAAGGTTCACAATAGATTTGACACACTTAATTGACACCAAAATTTACATTATTGAACTGTTCAACAATCCAATAGATATTTCTCGTACATCTCCACTTACCAAAAATGTGTTTATATTCTCAAAAGCACTCAACTTCTTGACAAATATTTCAAATGCTCTTCGTTAAACATCATGGCATTCATACTCACATCCAATCCCACATGAAATCCAATCCCACACAAGGAACAATGTTTGTATAAATGCATCTTCTATCTTATATGATGGAATCAATTCTCAAGTACCATCAAGAGAGAAGGAAGAAGGAAGAGGAGCCAAGATCATAGAAAATCTACAAAGTTTACCAAATACAACCATCATCAATAATGATCCATTGGTAGAATTTGAAAGACAAGAAAGAAAGAGAAAGAAAGAAAGTAAAAGGCAGGGAAGAAGATGATAGCTGCTGGTCCCAAAAAATGTTCATGTGAAATCACAAAAAAGAAAATTGTACCATCAAGTTTCTATCAGAATTTGTTGGCAACATTGGAAATTCTTTCTTTGAGAGCAAACTGGAGCACCAAAGCCTTCACGGAAACTTGGTGACTCGTGACCTCAAGTCTTGGGTACAGTTGCATTAGCTCATGGCAGATTCCAATTATTCATCACTTGGATTGATCCATAAGTGCACAAATTTTTGAGGAATTGAACAATTTGTAAGCCTCATCCTTTCTTATTCTTTCTTTTTTGTGGCCTAATATTGCATGAGAGATACAATGTTCTTGTGTAAATTCTACAATTAATTTGATTAGAATCTAGGAGATTGTGTAATGTGTCAATTAGTGTGCAATGCTCATTCTCACTCTCCTTTTCTTATGTATAATATATTGTTGTTGAATTCATGCTAATCTTGGTCCTTTGTTCTTTGAATAGTCTTAGAGAGCATGTCAAAGATCTAGCTTTTCCGCATCAAGCTACGCAAAAAGACAACTCTCCTCGAACATGGATTATGGATTCGGTTGAACAATTTCATTAGGGTGCAAATGTGGTAACATGTTTCATATTTAGCCAGATTTGAATCAAATATCAAAATTGGAAGCTAGGAGAATAACAATGATTACTCACTACATAGAACTAAGAACAAAGAAGAGGTCAAGATGTAATTTGAGAACTTGGAGAACGAGAGAAATGAAGATGGAGGATGAGAGGGTGCAATGATGGTTAAGATAGAGTAAGTTGCTTTAGTAAAAATTTAGATTACTTTATCATTCCTATATATATATATATATATATATAGGAGAATGTTAAATAAATCCATGCTTTTACTAAATAGATCTACCTTTGATGATGAAGAATATAGTAATTATGATGAATGTAGTTGTTTTTAATGGTTGAAGATCCAATAGTGAAGAAATGAATCTAATAGTCATTTTTACTTTTTATGATAGTAAGGATGGATGGATAAATTTAGTAAAAATTTTGGCCTATTTAACATTCTTTTTTATATATATAGTTGTCAAAATTTTAGAAATAGATTTGAGCTAGAAATTAGATATTTAGTGTTGCTTGTTATTTTGATAATTAATAATAAAAAATAAAAAAATAAAAAATATAATAGATGATATTAATTAATAAGAGACGATTATATATTAGGTAGACACAAATGCAAATACATATGCACATATTCATCCATGGCATATTTCTTAATCTTTTGATTGTTTAGTATAATGTGTAACATAGAAGAATTTAGTTCACAAGGTTGGATTGATTTAAACTTCAAACACAAACTCTCACACATGTGTGGTATCCATAAGTTATTTTAGCTCCCAACTTTTGTAGTGACTAAAAAGAGGTACTAAGATGGATTATGAAGAATTGAAAGTTTTCCTAAAAAGAAGAGATAGTATGAAAAAAAATCAATGTATTTTTTATGTTTTTTTAAAATAATATAAAATTTATTTATTTATTTATTTATTAAATTAGATTCTTACAAAAGATATTTTGAAAAATAAATTTAAACTCCAATATGCTTGTAATGTTTTATTTTAAAGATGATAGTTTATTTTATTAAATATATGATTTCTACAATAGTTTCAATATTATCCAATTTAAAAGTCCAAATTAAATAAAGAGCAAAATTATTGTAATTATATGTTTTTAGAAAAATAAAGCTATATATATGTATATGTATTAATTTTTTTTATCAAATTTATGTTGATCTTTGTAGGACAATAAATAAAGATGTTAAAAATTTTAAATAAAATTATTAGGATAGATTTTGTAAAATTAATAATAAAAATATTAATGTATTTATAATTCTATTTTTATTGACATTGAGATAGTGGATAAAAATATAAATATTATCAAAATAAAATAAGATTAATTTTAATAAATAAAATAAAATAAAATAATTTATGATTAATTATATTTCATACTTCTTTTTATGTGGTCACTAAATATTAAACTACAAGAAAGACATCCATAGTAAATGGCCAAGTCTTAAAGATCTTAATTGACAAAGAGTGTAATTATAAGTAGATTATAATATTTTAGATTTAAAATACTAAAATTATTTTATTTAGAAGTATAAATTAAATATTATAGATCTTCAAAATAAATTGCCAAAAATATAAGCATATTAGATAGAAAGTACTTTTAACCTATAAAATAATTTATACTTTAAGTTTTAAAAAAAATAAAAATCTATTAATGTATAAGCAAAGAAATATTTTAAATTAAAATATAAAAATATATACAAAATAAGAAAAAATATTAAAATAATATCATTTGATTTTAAAATAAAATAAATTTTAGAAATTCTATTTTATAATTTTAAAAGAAAAAGAAACAAGAAACAATAAATTCTTATAAGATATATTACAATATTTTTTTATGGCTTTAAGGATTTTATAATATACCGAAATAAGTTGAGACTTCTAATTTATTGATAGACTTTTAAGAAGATGTAAAGAAACTTCAAAATAATTTTATGGAATAAGTTTGGTTTGAACAATAAATCAAAAGTTTTGCTAACTTACTTAAATTTTAAAATTATAGCAAAATCTTGGAGTATTAGAAAGTATATAAATATATATTTAAAAAAAATAAAACTAATATATTATAAAAATTCCAATCTTATGATTATGCAATTAATCTTCTAAATATGAGTCAACTATTTTTTGGACCAATTTACACTTTAATTGTAAAAAAGTAAGAATATTAATAAAATATATTAAAAATATTTTCTAAAATATTTTATTCAATAATCAAAATATATTACAAATATATATATTTTTGTGAAGAATAAATATATCTTTACAAATTTATATAGATTATTGTGATTTTAACAAATTAACCATTAATAATTGTTAGAAATTGTGTCTCAAAAAGAAGTTTCTTTACCAAAATATTCAAAGTTTAATTTTTATTAAAATAGATATAAAAAGATTTTAAAATATAATATTTAATAAAGATACAAACAAATAAAAGATTATATTCTTAATTGGTCCAAAGAAATATGTGTAACCACTTATGAAGGACAAGAATATGATAAAAATAAATAAAGAAGTGAGATTTCTCTTAAAGAAAGATGAAAAAATAGAAATAACTTGATATGTATATTAAGAAAGAAACTCGAATGGCTATTGCCAAAAGTCAAGAAAACTAGAGACCCTTGAAATTAGATTGGAAGCAAAAAAGGAGTTGATAAGAGTGAAGAAGGCTTCACTTTTGTCTCTATATATACTATCTAACTAGGGACTACGTGGCAATGTTCTATAGGACCTCCAATATGTGTTGACTTTGTAGGACAAATGCCTTCACTTACAAGGGAAGTTTTTCTACATGTGGGCCATATAGTTAGCTTGGTCTTCAAACTAACAACATGTGTGGCACATGGCCAACTTGTTGACCACGTTTCTAATTCAAAAAGTCAATCAAAGACACCTATAAAGTTAAAGCTGCATCTATAAAGCTTCTAGGAAACTTTCATAATAAATTTTATAGAATTAACTTATTTTTACTTACTTTTATTTACTTCTACCTATTTATACATGTAATTATTGGCTTACATGCATATGTCTGTGACACCACTTTAAATATATTATTGTGTCTTTTGGACTCAAAAATATTCCAACCACTTCTTAACATTTGATTAAAATTACATTTATAAATTTATAGATAATTTATTGAAAGTTACTTTAAAAATATTTGTATCTATTCCAATAATGTAGATAAACATGAATAATATATTTATCTTATATAATGAAGCCTTAAAGCTACAAAACTATATGCTAAGATTAAAATATATATATATAATTGGATTAATAGAAGATATAGATTGTTAAAGATCCAAAAATTCTAAGAATTTTTTGTAATTTTTAATGTCTTTAGAAATTTTAAATTATTATAAAATATTTATTAGAAATAAATTTTAAGTTATTGTTTTACTTATATTATGGTATTTTCAACAAAAAAAATTATTAAAAAAATAAATAATAAAAAATTATTTAAAAAATATTATTAAAAACATAGACATTTTAGTAATGTTATATCTAATCAATAACTTTAGTTTGTATCAATTTTTTTGATAATATTCAATAATATAGTGAAGTTTGTTAAAAATTTGTCTTTAAATTTTTATTCTTAAATCAATAAAAAATATACATATATAAATAAATTATCAAAAAAAATTAAATAACTTTCTTGCTATTAGATAATGATATAAAAATATAATACTATTCAATAAAAATATTAAATTTTTTATTTTTATTTTAAAATAATAATAAAAATATCTATATTTAGAAATAATAATCTTAAATAAAAATAAATAGTAAATATTAGTTATTTTTTAATAATATTTAGACTAATTGATCTTATTATAAACTTAATAATTAGAGACTAGAAATATTTAATATTTAAATTAAATAAATTTATTTTTATGTATTATTAATATTAGAGATGATAAAAAATAACTATATAACTCAATAGTTGGTGATACTATTAGAAGCATGTATTATTCATCATGACATGTAATTTTTTTTTGTGAAATCAGTAAAAAAGACATTATTAATAATTAAAAAAATTATTAGTCTTTGTGTTGAAGTATGTGACATTATCAATAATTCAAAAGATTTATTAATCACCTTTATATAGGAGATAGATTAAAGCTTGTAGCAAACACCATTTAATGCATCTTGGATTTCATCAACTTATAAATTAGTTTTTTTTTTTTGTGTAATTTATTTTTAGAATGGATAATAATTTAATAAATGCCAATTTTATTTACATGAATGAAAATAAGTAAATTTAGATAAAAAATATTATAAAAAATATTTTTTAATAGATAAAAGAAGTTTTTTTAAACAAAAAATATATTTTTTTGAATTTTTAAGATACAATGACATGTAAGTTTGATAATTGGGCTACAAATCTAGTGGTCTTTTAAAAACTTCCATGTGACTTTCTTGCTAGTTAGTATATTTCAAGACAAGACTATCCTTGACACCTTATTGTATTTAAATTTAAATTTTAATATTTTTAATTTCATAATAACTAATAATATTTATTCTAATTTTTTTCTATTTTATACTTATATCACTTCTTTACTTTCTTTCTTCCTTCTTAGTGATACATATGTATATCTTTTTGGAATTTAAAAAGATCTATTTCGTCTGTTGAAAAAAAATCTTTTAATTTTTAATGTAGTCATTAAAAATCCAAAATGTATCCAAATACTCAAATAATTTTCTTTATATAAAAACTCTTTATAAATTCATATCCAATTCTTTTTGAGAATGTTTATCTATAAGTAAGCTTAAAACTTAAAGTTAATATAGATTCATATTTTATTAGAGTATATATTTGTAAGAAATATAATGCAAGTACAATATAAAATTTCAAATGTTTAAAATGATATAAAAGACTATGCTTGATCTTTTCTAATAATAAATCTAACTAAAATATAAACATGTATAAAATAGAATAATTAACTTAGTTAGTATTTTAACTATTTTTGTATTCTTAGCTATCATTAAACCTTCTATTTATAATATGATTCTAGTTTCTACTTAATAAGTGCCAATCGTAGTTGTTGTTTGGCTATAAAAAAAACCTTAATTATGTATTTATTTTTATTCAAATTAAATTCATGTTATTATTGTAATATTTGACAAAAGTATCAATAAATATTTTTTATTTTATCATTTCTAGTAAAAACATAATTATGTATAGATTTTTTTTAAAAAAAGTTGCTTAATTTTTTTCTTCAAGATTTAATTTAATTTTTAATTTTTAATTTTAGCACAATACTAAATATTTTTAATGTCAACATTTTTTAATATTTTTAATGTGTAGTTAAATTGCAAAACCCATTGCTACATTTTAGACAGACATATATCATCCCAATTAATTCTTCTTCATTCGTAAAAAAATTCAATTAGAAGACTTACAAATTATTTAGCAATTTCAGAAAATCACTAATCATTATGATACATTTTTATTAATTTAATTTCTCCACGTCCACCTCAAGGAAATATAACCGAAAACATTAACAGTAATTAAGTAAAACACCTAACAAACAGAGATGTGAAAAAATTTATTCAACAAGTGGATAGCAATACAGAATTGGAAGATACACTGGAACAATGCTTATATATATATATATATATATATGTTTATATATATAAACAATTAAAGAGGACTTGGTCATGTGGGAAAGAACTCACAGATTGACTTTCCATAAAACCTTCATACGAACTGCCCGCTGCCCGGAGTCAGCAAGCACTCTTTCCCTCTCAAAAAGGGGTCCACTTGCAAACCACATGGGGATCCTGACTCTTAGAAAAAAGAACATTCCAGACCCAATTATCAACTCTGCCTGCCTCAGTTCCACTATCATTTGTCAAGCCCCTCCCAACAAATAACATACTTGCTTTTTACTCTCTCCTCTTGGGTTCCATGACCACCTCCTTCCTGCAAGGTCTACCCTAAACCCTAATTGCAGCAACCCACCAAACCCTTTGACCCGTTCACACCTGCGATATGAAACGAACCAAGCAAAACCCTGGCTGGAGTAAATGAGCCCATGGAGGAGCGTTCAAGGGCATTCTACCCTCCCAGATGAATTCCGACACCCTGTGCTGGCATTGAATGCGCTAGGTACCTTCTTCCTTAGCAGCCCTGCCTCTGTAGGGTGGTACCATCCCTCCACTCTGCACCTGCACAATTACTCTCAGGACACATGTGGATGATCCCCTTCCATGGATGAATAACCTACGCTTTTAAATATCTGAAGGCTACGAAAGGCGCCTTCACTCCATCGTTATTCATCCTCAGGGTTTCTCAACCCGAAGAGAGGTCCCACTCATAGTGAATTAATGGAGAAGGGGTTCTTGGAATGAATGAATACAGCTCCAGATGGATGAATGTTGTTAGGATGAATGATCCACCGCCTGAGTGGGCTTTTATAACCTGGCCATGCTTCGTGAGTTGAAGGACAAGTGGAGTGGGCTACTGCCTTCGATAGAGTCCTCCTCTACGAAGACATCGACGGCAACCCCGGACGGAGGGACGAGGAATCAATGATTTACCAGAGGGGAATTAAAGTAACTTTTGAAGAAAAGTAACCGCGGACTCTGAACCGGACTGGGCCGGGCTGGAGCTGGGCTGGCAGAGAAGGGGACGGCTCCTGCTTTGGACCGGCCTCCCCCCCCCCCGGTTTGCTTTCAATCTGCAACGACGACGACGACGACGTCGACGACGTCGACGACGAGTCGTGCTGCTTTGCTATGCTTTGCTTTGCTTTGCCTTCCCCACTTCTTTACTTTCATGAATCCTCTCAGCATTTGCGGCATTCCAGTTGCGCCCGGTGCCACTTCCGTCCCCACCACCTCCTTGTCCAGCCTCGTCCTTTGCGTCGTTACTTCAATCTTGGTGCGCTCTAGTTGTTACTTATCGGGGTTAGATACCTCTCCTTGATTCGCTTGATCGGTGACAGTGTGTGTGCATTTGTGGACCCTGATAACGTCGTTGAGCTGGGATTCGGTATTTGTGTTAGTTCGTTGAGTTGGACTGTGTTGTTTTTTTTATTGTTTCGTTTTCCTCTGAGTTGAGTCAATGTGATGGTGGATTGAATGGTGTTTGATTTCGTGGGTGGTGTTGCATTGTTGGAGAGTGCGTGTCGCTGGTGCTAGGGGATGGTTGTGACGGTTGGCTCTGTTGCGGGGGTCGTTCTTCTTCTTGAGTTTTTTGAATGAAGGGAGATCTCGGTATTGATATAGCTACTTCCTTTTCTGGGTGATAGCCAAGCTTTGTATTATCTAGGAGGAGATCATGTTCACTTTGAACTTGTGTGGTTCAGTGTGAGACTCGTCTGCAAGGAAACTTGACAATCGTTGGTACTTTTCTAATAGAGCGCTTTTGAGCTCACACAGGCTCCACTCGTGTTCGACATACCGCCTGACAATGGGGACATTTCAATGCTCTTTCTGTGCTTTGTGATTCTTGTGTGGAGATTATTGGACAACGAGACTGAGAGGTTAGGAGTAGGATTCGCAGCCCTGTATGAATATCGGTCATGAACGCATGAGACGTCAAGGGTCATACCGTGCTTCTCTCTTTGTATTCAGTTAACGCCGAGGTCTCATGATTTGGACTCGTGGTTACTGCGCACACGTATCACTTCGGAAATCGGCCACTGATCACTCTGCAGACGTCCTTTCCAGGTCCACTCTCTATTCGTACTCTCCGAGGGTACATGGAGCGAGGAACTGGGTACATTTTTTATTCAGGGATATCAGTATAAATTGCTTGGAAGTTTGACGGAAGTCCAGTAAACAACCAATATCCCAGTCCGCGCATAGCGGATGGTGTATCAGTTCTTGCTGCAGTTGAAGTCCTCATCATGACCTCAAAGACCTTCATGGGTAAATTTCTCTGATCTCCTAATAACCTAGCTATGATGCTTTGCGTGATTCATGTTATGTTGCCTTTCTCCCATGAGTTTCATTTTGCTATTGGTCAGTGCTTCGCTTACTCATTCCCGCACCATATGCAACGTTCATGTTTAGGAAGGAATGGCTTTCAATCGGAGGTACCTTAACATAATGCTAGTTTTCTGTCAGAAGTTCATATAGATCCGTAATATTGAAATACCTGTGTGTCACTTCACTCGACAAATGTTTTTATTGATATCCTTCAGTGATTTTGCAATGAATAACTCGTATGTCAATGACTGCCTGAGGAATAGACCAGAGGTTTTAGATGTGAATTTCGGTCGCTGTTATGTTACAGTTATCGTTTGTTAACGAGTTTGCATTAGCAAGCTGTTTGAGCAACGCAGAGACTCATTTACAGACGAAATAGCGAGAAATTATATGGTACAACTGTGAGAAACACTTAGTAGGTTGGACGTCTTTTTCAGTAGAATAGGGACTTCTAAAATTTCACTTTTCGTCTGCACGGTCGTGCATGAAATTGCTTGTATATTCCCTGGATACTTTGTGAAACACACTGTACATCTGTTGGGAATTCCACGAGATGATTGGACATGACCTTGTAACGGAAACCTGATACTGATTTTTTTCTAGGTATGAAATCTGACACTGATTTCCTAGTGTAAGAGTCCCTCGATGAAATCCATATTAGCGCAAAACAATGGTCTAGATTTCAAATTCGTAGAGAATATTCGAGAACAACCATTCAGCATCTTTTTATCGGAGAATATTAGCTCAAAAGTGTGAGACTAAGAATGATTATGCATAAGAGCCGGAGGAGGAGCTAGTACTATTTACGAAATTCGTTTGACAAATACTGCGTGTGATTGAAATGTTAACAGCTCCTTCTCCTTGGCACTGCACAAAGTCCAGGTTCTGACGGTCACTTGTTTTAGCAGGTGTTCTTGGGAATGAACCCTGGTCGCCCAAGATTCATACTGCTGATCTAGTCAAGCGCAAGAGACTTGTATGGATGGTCAGTGTTGCTGGCTTATGTTGCTTTTTCTACATCTTAGGCTCCTGGCAGAATAGCGCTAACGATCTCCGACTGATTTCATTCGAAGACCAGAAGGTTGCCCGTTTGCCTTGCAAATTACCGGGTGGGCTTGATTTTAGCGCCCACCATAGCTCGTTGAACTCTGAATCCGGATCGAATTACACCACATTCGAGCCATGTGACATGAAGTACAGTGAATACACTCCATGCGAAGACACCGAGCGATCGTTGAAATTTCCGAGAGACAAATTGATATACAGAGAAAGGCATTGTCCTAAGGAGGACGAGCTCCTCCAGTGTTTGATTCCTGCTCCGGCTGGATACAGAAATCCGCTGCCATGGCCTCAAAGTCGAGACTATACATGGTTTGCCAACACCCCTCACAAGGAACTAACTGTTGAGAAAGCAATCCAAAAGTGGGTGCAGTTTCAAGGTGAGAAGCTGTACTTCCCAGGAGGTGGAACTTTCTCTGCTGGTGGTGCTGATAAATACATCGACGACATCGCTGCTCTCATTCCCCTTAATGACGGGTCTATCCGAACGGCAATCGATACTGGCTGTGGGGTAAGTTACAAGTAGACTTTCGAATCATGCAGATCTACTAACTTCTGCAAATCCATATCTTCCTGAAGATTATTTTATGATCCCATATTCACTATCCAATCTGACTTGGTCTCCTTGGTCTTCATCTTCTTACTTAGGTTTCACATTTATTTAGTAATGTTTAGTTTGACACGATTTTCTTTCTCTTTCGCTCTCTGTGTTGAATAGTATGTGTTTTTCTTATATGGTCTGCATGTCTTCTCTATGATCGCGAAGTCACACCAGTTTCCAAAGAGGCTGGCTAACATTACATTTGTTTGTGTGCTGAAGTGTTTCTACTTCAGTCCTAACTCTTCTCTCAATGATTAATCAACTTCATTGTTTCCAGGTTGCAAGCTGGGGTGCATACTTGCTGAAGAAGAATGTATTAACCATGTCGTTTGCACCTCGGGATACGCACATTTCTCAAGTCCAATTTGCTTTAGAGAGAGGAGTTCCGGCGATCCTTGGAGTTATGGCTGAGAACCGCATGCCATACCCAGCACGATCATTTGACATGGCACACTGCTCTCGTTGCCTTATTCCATGGGCTAAATATGGTAACTTCATAATATCTCTGGGTTTGAAGTGTACATATTTAGGTCTATGTAGGTTTCAATTTCGATTTGATCTATCAGAACGTGAAGCCGACGTAGCTTTTGCCCCAGAACAGTAGCTGCATTTCTTGGAACTTCAATGTTAACATTCTTTGTTGCATGGTTGGCAGATAGTTTGTACTTGATTGAGGTCGACCGTGTGTTAAGGCCAGGGGGGTTTTGGATCCTTTCTGGGCCGCCAATCAACTGGGAAACTCACCACAAGGGTTGGCAACGGAGCGAAGAGGATTTGAAAGATGAACAAGATAGTATTGAGAACGCAGCTCGAAATCTTTGCTGGAAGAAGTATGCTGAGAGAGACAACCTTGCAATCTGGCAGAAGCCTCTAAACCACGCTAAATGTGAGAAGCAGCGAAAGCTTGACTCAAGCCCCCACATATGCAGCCGCGCTGAAAACCCTGATATGGCCTGGTGAGAAGATCCTGGTACCCACTGCGATTGTTTCATGCTCTCTGGAAATTATTTCGTTCACAAAACTTTGATTGATTTCCTATTAGAGTCACTAGAACGTTACTCGTTTACTAACAATCGCTTGCCACCATAATGACCTGTTCATATTCAAGCTTCTGTAATGATGCGAACACAATTTGTGTAGTATATATTCTGGTTTGAAGTTATTGTTTGAAGAGATTCATTTACCCAAAGTCATGTCATGCCTGTTCAAGGAGGAGGAGTCAAATACAAAATGAACTTTACTAGTTAGCAAAGGCATCGATTCAGAATGATATCTGGTTTAGTGCAAAATTTGCATGAGATGAACTTTGACTCGAGAAGTGAGTCAATCTACGGGTGGAGTGTTGTGTGAGTGAATTCTAGACTGAAATGCTCACCAGTTGATGCGGGGATAATCTCTGACAATACATTATACTTTTAATTGATTCTGCACAGGTATTGGAAGATGGAAACATGTATTACCCCACTACCCGAAGTCAAAGACACGAAAGAAGTCGCTGGCGGCGCTCTTGCAAAGTGGCCTGTAAGGCTGACAGATGTACCTCCTCGAATTTCAAGTGAATCTATTCCGGGATTAACTGCTGAGAGTTTTAGAAACGACAATCTTTTATGGACCAAACGTGTGAATTATTACACTGCACATCTGATTACTCCATTGGTCTCAGGCAGATATCGGAACATCATGGACATGAACGCAGGACTAGGAGGCTTTGCTGCTGCTCTGGTGAAGTATCCAGTTTGGGTGATGAATGTCATGCCTTTTGATGCTAAGCTCAATACTCTAGGTGTAATCTATGAACGTGGGCTGATTGGCACATATCAAAACTGGTGAGTCTCCAAACCTCAATTTCCAGTTCGATGTAAATGGAGTTAAGGAACAGAATTTCTAAGGAGATCTGGTTTCCAAATTTTTAACTCAATACTGGTTATAGCACAGTTCTTCACACAAGGTATAGTGAGATTGAAAATAAAAGTAAACATGACTAAGATTTCATTCTTCAGTAGCTGTATAAAATAAATAATTTAATCAACTGTTCGGCTTGAGGAGATGCAGCTCTCATCTAATATTGCCATGGTCCCATAGCCCATCCTACATCTCCGCAACATTTTATATATAAATAAATCCCTGAAATGCTGTCTTTGTAACATGAATTTTTTTGATCAGGTGCGAAGCATTTTCAACGTATCCACGAACATACGACCTCATTCACGCAAGTGGCGTCTTCAGCATGTATCAGGACCGGTAATTATGTCTAAACAAACTTGGACAAGGAATGAACCTTACAATGGCTGCAGAGGATCAGTGTTTGAGTCTCATGGTGATCTAATTTTTTCAGTGTAACATCCTGGTTTAAAATCACCTGATTGAAAGCTAGAAAAATTTAGCTAGGCTGAGTCACTGCATCTGTTTTGAAATCATGAATTTAATGAAAGAGTTCCAACACGGAAGTACCTGATCCTTTGTTCTCTAGGGTAATAAAAGGTTCTACTCTGACACTTGAACCATCTTCAGTTCCCTAACTCTGTGATGTATCAGGTGCAATATTGAGGATATCTTGCTGGAGATGGACCGGATATTGCGACCTGAAGGTGCCATTATAATACGTGATGAAGTAGATGTTTTGAACAATGTGATGATGATATCAAATGGTATGCGCTGGGAAACTCGTATTGCAGACCATGAAGATGGGCCTTTGGTGAGTGAAAAGATACTCATAGGGGTTAAAACCTACTGGGTTGGATCAAATTCGAATAAAACAGGTGCAAGCACATAGCATGCCATGAATGCGTATCGTATCATGAGCTGTAGGTTTTAACATTCTGTTTTGCCCATTCTTTTCCTGAGTGAAACGTCAGTAAGATATAAGTTTGTCCTTAATTTTACAAGCTTGGCCAGTCTCTAGAGAGGATTATAAGTCTTAAGAGTTGGTTAGCATAGGCCCCAGTGTCCAACCCTCTGAGAGTTGATGTTCTTTATCGGAGAGGACACATAACTCAGAGCAAGCTTCTTCCTGTGTGGAATCGGTGACCATTGAATGCTGCGATCACTCTAAATCATCAGAGATGGAACTAACATCAGCAATGACATTGCATTATTTTGTAACCCTTCACATTGATTCATCAGTGATTCTGAGACCTGAAAAATGATCTGCTTCAACTGAAGATTGGTCAATCTTATTCTTGTTGACTTTGTCGTAACTTAGACAAAAGAACATGAACTTGAACCTGAACCTGGAGAATCTACTTTGTTCTTCTCATTTGTCGCGTCTATGCTCTATGTGATAAATTTAGTTTCTGCACATTATTCAATTCATGTCCAGACTGCACTATCCATCTTGTGTGAAAAGCATTATGTATATATATATATATATATATATATATATATATGTGTGTGTGTGTGTGTGTTCGTATGCACTAGAAAAACGCACCCAAACACAATATCCACAGCATATATTCTGAGCTACCCTGGTTCTGAAGGAAGAACCCGGGTATCTCAGTAACGACGCATTGAGTGCTGAACTCGAAGACGCTCCTGCTCCGAGACAATGAGTTGAAAACCAACAGTCACAAAATCTCAGAGTTCACGAAACTTGCTTTTCCAACTGCACAACCCCAATTAATGAGCAACTACAGACGCCCTCTTCCCCAAGTCCTTCCCTACGTATTAGAGATATTCTTGTGCAGCAGCTCTGATAAATCCCATGCACAGTTGAACAGTGAGAAATGGGTACTAGATCCACAAAACACCTACAACACACACACATACACACTTGTCATGAAAGGATAACCAATCTGGGTCTGCGAGATTACTAAGCAAAACTCCCTCTTCGGTGTTTTTTCAAGTTGTAGCTCATTGTGTTATGTTTTGGTAATGCATGTGAATGGAATACAAGAATTTATTGAAAGAAGAAGATTATTAATGATTATATCTATAATAGTGTATTTACAACTTATTTTAAAAAAAATGAAATTATCAAAGCTAACTGTAAAATAAAATAAAGTAAAAAAATAAACTAACCTGACTTATATATTTTAGTATTTGAATTTAATATAACAACATTAGGATCTTTAAAAGTTATTATTCCAAATTCAAGTATACATGTTGAGCGATGTCTTTAACTTATAAAGATATTAATCTAAATACATCTTAATCAAAACACATATGTATAAAAAATAGCTCTAAATAAATTTATGTGAATTTTAAAAAATACTTTTATATTTAGAAATAAGCATGATGTTATCAACCCCATACATCTGAACACATACCTACAGGTAACACACAATTTGTAAAAATCAATGTTATTTTACCTAACCTTCAATTGAATTTTATGAAAAACAATTAATACAACCAAACCAATACTTATCACAGACAAAAATACTTCCAAGAAATATGAAACAAAGAAGCTCTAAGGAAGTACTAAATATCAACAAACAACTGGATTCTGAGATATACGTTTACAATCTGAGGGGATACATCACTTGTTTTGATCAAACAATAAAGCAATAAAACACATAAATGCAAGCAGCGGTTGCGCGATTTCTAAATAGTAGGTCTGGTGATGTGTGTAAGATCAATAACTTTCTGATCTAGCGGCCTGTTGCACTAGCAGTTGCTAGAAGGAATTGGTTTGACAAGTGTTTTCACCGTTACTATTCTCCTCATTTGCTATTGCAACAGCCGTCTAGTGTAATGCCGACGGCAGCTTCAGCAGCCATCCTCAGATCATGAGAATTGACAGTGTGAAGTTTTATTTACATGACCACAAGGACGCAAGCCTCTGTCTATTGTCGAACAATAACTAACTCCCTGACCACGGCCGTCAAGGTGGCCAAGCGGGACATCACCGGAGACCAGCTGAAGCTACACAAACACCAGAAATGCATTTGAACAGGAGAACTCATGGCGGGTGTAAGTTTTTTCACGAGGGGAACAGCATTTAACGAGTTGGCGGAGCCAACACGCTGGACTTGTCGGTGCAGGGCATGATGGGAGAAGAGCTGATAGCGGTGCCCATCTGGCGTGACGAGAGCTGAGTGCACAGTTACGGCATCGACGACGCCGACTGGTTCTCGCAACTCACCATGCAGTTCAGGTTCTGCGGCATGTTCACCCTTGTGAACGGCGTGCTGGGTTAGACCTACCTGCCGGAGTTTAAGAACTCGTCTCGAGGTGAGCGTTTACCGAGTTGACTGGTGCATCGCCTCTTCCTTTCCAGGCAACTGAATTGCAAGATTAGCCAGAAACAGCGACGACTGTCACTCCGGAGAACAAAATCCACGCTGTCTCCCTTGACCTTGTCCAGTAGTTGCAACGTAGGCGCCTAGATACATCGCAGATGATCGGAATGCGTAGAAATCCATCTAGCTTTGTTGTTTACCAGTTTTTCGGACTTCCGATCTGTCGGTGCTGGCGGACGATGACCAGGATCTAGACGACCCACTTCAACTGATGCAGTAGATTTAAACAGTATAAACTTCACTAACATTTGTACAGTAAGTTGATAAAAGTAAGTAAAACCTCTGATATCTGCAACTTGCCTCCATCGTGTTGATGTTAAACACCACAATCATCATAAGTTTGTTCCATTACTTGTTGAGTTCTCTTCTTTTTTTCTTTCTTTCTTTTGTATGTGTGTGTGTGTGTATATGTGTGTGTGAATGAAGGCAACTCACAATTTGCATGGTATTTCATTCATTTGTTATTCTTTGTTTTCGTCAACAAAATGATTAAGCTAAACGGGTAATAACAAATGGTTCTCACTCGTGTAAAACAACAAATTTGAACGTCTACAGTGAAATTATTTCATGGTGATTAAATAGAAATTTTGTGATGTAAGCAGGACCAAACATTCTTAGAATGACGAAAGAAAAAAAAGACAAAGTCTATATTTCAATTGAATGTCACTCATTTATATTATACTTAAAATTAGATGTTTGTCTTCCTAAATTCTTACAGTCGAAAAATTTGTCATAATCATTTTTGGACTACGTTTTGTGATAGTTATCTTGGTAATAATATCTTGATGATGAGATTTTCAATAAAAATGATAAAAATAGAAATTTTATCCCATTAAAAAAATTGCCAATAAATGTGTTTTTTTAATTTACAAAATAAATTTAATTTACAAAACTTAGTATATTTACAGCAAGTATTATATGTAAACGTATTGACCCCTTATTACTTCAATTATTTTACAATATAATGTATATTAAAGTTATTTAATTATATACTATGAGATTATTATATTATAATATTTAATACTTAGGAATATATAATTGATCAAGTTTTATTTTAAGTAATTTTTGTAAATAAAATTAGATCTTTGCTTTCATATTCACTTTACATTTATTTTATTATAATTTGTAAATAATGTATGTTTATTATTTTTTAATTCTGCCATTATTAAAATTAAATATCACTATTTCAATTTATTATTTTACTTTTAATTTTCCTTTTTTATTTCAAAAATATTATAAATAATTCTATAATAGTATCTTTTTAAATTATTAGAGATGATTATAAAAGATGAAATATAAAGTCCAATTTTTAACAAGAGAAAAATCCTAGAACACATATTAACAACATACATACTAAATTACAAATTCAATATCTTCATTTGCATACCATGTCTACATTACAATTTTAACTATCTTTTACATAAAACAACTCAAGTAGAAGAGAGGGGGACAAATACATGGGATAAACAAGAAGAGATAAAAACCCTCTCTAATTTGTTACATACCCTATTGTTTTCATCAAAAGTGAACCAAATCTAGAATTCACAAGGCCTTAACAGTCTACCCTCTACTCTCTAAGCCTTTACCTTTGCAAAGGTTTAAAAAAAAAAAAAAAAAAAAAAAAAAAAATCCCTCCCATTTAATATGTTGATGCAGCTCGCCTTTCCTGTTTGTAGGCTATGGAATTTTTTTTTTTTTTTTTTTTTTTTTTTGCAGATATAAAATCCATGCCAGTAGATTTTTAAAAATATATTTTTGTTTCTACAAACATAAAAGTTGTACCAATGGATCTTAAAAAATCTGCTTTTGTTTTTGAAGATAGGAGTACTTTGAAAATCAAAGAAGACGATTTCACATATCTGCTAATATATGTGAGAGGAATTTTTAAATTATTTATCTTTTTTAAAAGTAATTGGTTGCATGTATACATTTTATTTGTTGCTATTCTTTTTAGCGACAAGGTATGATTTGATTAGTATCTTTTGTTGCTTTACTTTTAGGTAGACTTTAAGGTTGCTATAAATTTTTTTTTATTATTATGGGTTGCTCTAAAAGTAATAGGTTCCTATCTTCCAATGTTACCAAATGCAGAAGCTAATATACAGGAATCTTAGAAGCATTTACTTTTTTTTAATAAAAGAATATGATGATTTGAGGTTTGATGTTTGCTTATGAGTATTATAAATTTAATTTGCTCTAAGAGAATGAGCAATAATATATATGAACAAGTATTTCAAAGCACAAATGCTTCTATGAAGTTCATGTTGAATTCATTAAATATGATACTTTTGTTCAATTGTATACCCAATAATTCCTTGGCTAATCTTTACAAGTGATTGCCTTTACAAGGTAACAATATTCTTTGTAAACTTGGACTTCATAACATTTAATCACTAATAGAAATTATTTGAGTTTAAAGTAAGAGAAGCTAAATTTTCATGAGCATTATGTTCTTCCAAGCAAGAAAGTATGTTTTGTTTTAATTATTAGCACATGAAACCTACTTGGTGACAAAAATATTGTTGACACTTAACTCTATACAAACATAATTTTTAAATGAAAATCTACATGTTGCTTTATAAAGTTGATGTTATTACTTTAGACATTAGTATACAAATGATCATCAAGTATTAGTGTAGAATCTATTTTGTTATGACAAACATTTATGTTTATTCTAATAATTACCTACAACATATGAGTAGGTAGTAATAGATTTAAGTAGATAAATTTAAAAATATCTTGTAGAGAAGCTTTATAAATATAGTTTTGCCTTTACATGTGTCTGTATGTGATTGATAGGTTAAAAACTTAGCCAACAAGTTGGCTATATGTCACATATGTTGGTGACTTGTGGTACAAGTTAAAAATGTGGTGCATATATTAGAAGCTTTTCTTACAAGTTAGACACATGTTAGAAGTCTTATAGAATGTTACCACGTAGTTCTTAATTAAATATTATATATAGAGATAAGAATGAAGCTTTCTTCACTCTTATCAATTCCTTTTTTGCTTCTACTTTAGTTTCAAGGATCTCTAATTTTCTTGTCTTTAAGAAATAGACATTTTAGTTTTTTTTGGAACATATATGTATATATATATATATATATATATATATCATCTTTCTTTGAGAAATATCTTACTTGTTTATTTTCATTTATTAAGTTCTTATCCTTGATATTTTCTTGGATAAAATCATTTTTTGAAACTATTGATTTTTATAATTGTGCTTCATATATTTGTGACCTTCATGTATGTTGTGTCTCAACATTTTATAGAGCTAATGCATACAACACTATTCTTAACCAATTAATATTTAATATGGGTAGAAGAGCAATTTAACCACTACGTATAAAGGGCTTGAAACATTTGAAAGTCTAAGGTTGTTCTTATAGAAAAAAATGTATAACATGATAAGGCAATACTTACATAACATTTGAATGTGAGAAGATAATTAGTCACATATATACATATACTATTACTTTGATAAATTTGTCTCAATATATCTAACTTTTTATTTTTAAGAGACAGAATTGATATTAATGAATTAATAACTTAATGTACGATGAATCGTGTAAAAGTGATTAACATAAAAGGTTCTGAAGACACAATCAACCAAACACCTTTAGTCCTATAAACAGTGTTTGACAAATTTTAGATCAAATTCTAAACTTATTATTTTTTTTGAAAGAAGCTCATTGCAAAAATCTTGACTTTGATGCATAATTCCTATCTTAAACAAAAGACCTACACTGATATCAAGTTTGAGATCATACCAATGTTTTAGTATTGTGGATTGAATTAACATTAAACGATCATGTCAGCCTTAAGGTGGACTAATATTAATTCATGAAACAATGCAAAATTAGGTTCACATATTTGACAAATAAAGCAATGTAATAGACGGCAAAAAAACAGAATACTCACTTAAATATAAAGAGCCAAACATAATTAATTACATGGAATTGATAAAAGAAAAAATAAAAAAGAAAAAATATTCTATTTAGATAGGAAGGTGATATTATTGTAATATGTTAGGGATGCATGGATTTAGTTAGCTTTTACACTTTTATACCTTTTTAGTAGCCAGCAGCACGAGTTTCCACTAGTGTATGTGTATGCATATATATATACATATATATATATATATATATATTTCTCTGAAAAAGCAAAAGAAGAAGAAAAGTAAGCCTTTACTTTAAAGGTTCACCCCAGCAAAGGTCGGAGACCATCCTTTTGTCTTGAAGGTCGGTGCGGGAGTTGAGAGGACGAACGAGATGCCATTCCGCATGTGAAACGAGGGACTGGGACCTAGATCAGGATGTGGGACGTGGGACATGGGGAGCGTGATCTCTGGAATTCCATCGCGAGGCTGCGGGCCAAGCTAGTTCTTCTTCTTCGACTGGGCAGGGAAGTGAAGAAGTGTTGTCCACCCCTCCTCCTCCCTCCGCCTTACAATGGCAGCCATGGCGTGCCTCACCACTCCTGCCTGCCTCTGTGCGGCTCCAACTGCTCCCCTCTTGGTGCGCTCCATCACCATCTCCGAAACGTGCATTGGGTCCTCCTCGCAACACCTCAGGGCGTTCGTTAAGCGGTCGCCTCGGTTGGTGGTCCTCAAGGCTGGAAACCGCACTGGCGTGGAGCCGGATTTGGAGGAGGATTTTCGTGATGTTCACCAAACCGCTGGAGAAGATATGGTGAGGAAATTCAGCTGTGGTGTGAGTTTTGAAAGAATTTCAGGTGACTGAGGTTCTGTGAGTATCGCCCTTGTGGGCATTCTGTTGGATTTGCTCTGGTACGTGGCGTTTTGGGAGTCTAGTCGTGTCTTGTTATTTGGTTTTTTCAGATTAGCTGGTGTTCAGCTTTTGTTCGGGGAGCGAGCGTTGCTTCTGCGGTTTCGCTTTTGACATTGTGTTGCCAGATTTGAGTTTCTTCCGCCGTGTTCTATGGTGTGAACTGCATAATTGACGTTATCGTTGAAACTGTGCCTAGTCCTACAAGATTGATGCTTTCTGCTCAAGTGTATTTGAAGAGATGGAAGTTTTCTGCCAATTCAGGCTTATGCGTGTCCTTTTCCACAACAGAAATCATGGACCTCCTTTGCATGTAGCACGTCCTTCTGAATCCAGTTTTTATAACCTTTTTGCAGGAAGATTTGTTTCCTTTCGGCAAGGCTGATGGTGCGCATACTTGGCACGAGGGGGACGACGGTAAGTTGGTCGCGAAAAAGAACCCACAGCTCATGGAATATACAACTTAACTAATAGTTCACTAGAGGTCCATGCATCGGATCTCTTTTTATTATTTATGCTCACGCTTACGTCTGAAAGTCGTAGAATGATCGTTGCAGGCACAGAGCGCCTCCTTTAGCTATCATCATGAAAATGTCATTTGCATTGCAGGTACTTGGTGGGATGGAATAAAAGAGGTCTTTGAAACATCTGGAGGACCTGTTGGTGCACAAGGTAAGGCTTTGATTGGCGTGTGATTCAGGGAAAATTCGGTAGATTCCTCAAAGAATTTTGAAAGTTTCTGGATAATTTCACATATGCTCATTTGCTGGCCTGGTTATTTTCCTTGTTTCCCATTTCAAGTTGAGTGGTTCTGTTACAGGAATTTAATTGTTCATATGCCTTATTCTGAATTTTCCAGTACTCTACGCAACAGTTTGTATTTGCAGTAGTTTTCCCTATCTAACATAGTATTTTATTTTTTCCTTTCTCTTTTCTGAAGCTAGAGTTAGTAGCAAATGTGTCGGTCTTTTTATTTTTTTACTTTCTGTTTTTCGTTGCGTGGGCTCAGCATCTTGTAAAGCTCACTGTTCATGAATTCTAGTGGTTTGAGGTGGACCAGCAACTCACTTTCAGGAGCATTGAATCTTATCCTCAGGTGCTATATCGTGGCTGTTCGTTCCTGGCCTTATCGCAGGCGTGGTCTTCAATGTTGATGTAATAATGGCGAACCATTCTGGACATCGAACCTTCTAGTTGGTGATGTTTTGAGTGTTAGGGTTTCCATTCTGTGCACTGCCTCTTCCCTGCGAAGATCACTGACGGGTTCTGGCATGGATTTTTGTGTGCAGCAAGAGTATTTGTTCTTGTACACAGCCCTCTTCATATTTGCATTCATTGGAATGGAGATGGCGAAACCTGACAAGCCAAGCCACTTCGAGCCAGAGATGTACAAATTGAAGGAATAAGTGATGGACAACAGATGAAGGCATTCTCTGCACCCCTTTTACCTTCGGCTGTAATTGTATGGCATCCATGTATGTGTATCAGAGAGGAATTTCTTATGAGTCCAAATCTAGAGAGGATTATATCTCTCAAAATTCCGCATTATTCTTAGCTTTTTGCTTATGAACAAACTAGCTTGAAGTGGTTGGTGATTTTGGTGAATCCTCAGTTGTGGTAATCGAAGCGTGTCATGTGAGCACGTTTGACTTCCCCAAATTGATAATCCCTTTTCTGGAAATGCGACCATCTATGTATAACGCAATGCTCATACAGTTTTACATGCAAGGATTATTGAATCTGGCGTCATTTAATGGATGATATTGATTAATAAGGTCACACCTTACCCTGTAGTTGGTATGGATACTGAGTTCGATGGATTGATTTCTGCAGCAGGACCCACCGCAGAACGACCTACTATCAATCAAAAATTGTATCAACGTACATATATTGTTTGAGCTTAATTCAGTTCACACAGTCGCCGGAAACGTCACATTAGATTTCTTAAACTAAAAATGAAAACATTCATTGTGAGCAATGTCATGCTCTAGATCATTTGGAGATCCCACATGAATTTATCTACTTGTGCTGTCACATTGTGTTGTTATCTAGATCGGAGCCTGGCTGGTTGTGAGAAGGATTGCTCCCCAATCTTCAACGAGAGAACCAAGTATATAATTGTTCAAAACATGCATGGGATAGGTACCTGAGATATGTGAAATTTACTGTTTCATATTTTATATCATTCGAGCGCCCTTTGCCAAGTGTTATAAATTAGGGTTGTGGAGCAAATGCTTTACAGTTGACCCCTGTCTATTCAAAATGGAATTGGCACAGGCTGTGACCTGATGACAAAAGTAGTTTTAGTTCTAGATTTAAATAAAAACTAAAAATAAAAACAGGGTATATCCATTCTATTGATGTGTCCAAGATTTGTCCTATTACTTGAGAATATTTATTTTTTGATTTGGTTTTTATTCTATTTTTTTCTTGTGCCTTTCAAACTAATTTGTCCATCTTCTAATAAACTTGAGGAAACCAATTATTGAGTATAGAGATTATTCCATACTTTCTTTTCAAAGATAAATGTGTTCCTATTAATCCATATTGTCCACATTACATTGTATTGATTAATCAATTATATAATGCAATGTGTGCAATTATCTAATGATTCTTTAAGGACTTCTATAAGATTTGTTAGGATTTGATCAAAATTTGATTATAGATTTAAGGCTCAATGAAGGTTTTTTTAGAATAATATTAGGATTGTTAGGTTCTTTGTTTGTTGCATTTGTAATTTATCTTCTACAACTAAATGCCAATGCATTCTCAAGTTAAATTTTTACATAACACAACATGCTTTGGGTTTGGACTATATATAATGATATTTAAAGAAGTCTAGTTCTATTAAAAAGCTTTATTTATTTGTTGGAAAATTAATTTTATTTACATAGTTTGTCAAAATATGTTATGAAATTCTCTTCCATAGACCAAAAATAAGAATGAAGATCAAAAGTAAGCTCATATACTAAGCTATAAAATAAATTGATATTTTCTTCTTTCTTGTGAAGATCGTTATAAAAATTACACTAATAATTTTTAAGAATCTAGCAACTTGAGGCACGTTTTTAGTGTTGTGCTGGTTTTTTTGGTTCATTGATAGAATTTAATAATAATAAAGAATTATTTATTGTATTCTAGATATATATACATATATATATATACATATATATATATATATATATACATACATATATATATATATATATATATATATATATATGTATGTATATACATTTTATTCTTTTGGTTGATTATGATAGACAAAACCAAGTATCTTCTTTTATCTTTATATGTTAAAAGCAAAGATAAAAAATAAAAAATAAAAATTGAAGGAAGTTAGTTAATTTCAAGGTATATAAGTAAATTCAATCTTGACATTTAAGAACAACTTTTATTTGTTGAATGAGAGCTTTTATATTTTTGAAAAGTAATAATTTAAGAAAAATCACATATATCCAATTCATATTATAAGTTTATTTTTTGGTCTAGTTTTTTTGATACAAGGTGGTTGTATATAGTATTAAGGTAGATTTTTAACTTGTTGAAGACCATTCAAGTGTAACATTGCAAATAACAAAAAAAAAAAAAAAAAAAAAAAAAAAAAAATGTAGAAAAGAAAATGGAATACTATTCACAATTATGACACTTCTCACTATGTTAAATTTAGCATCATATCAATAGTCTAACTTTTATTCTTTCAATCTATAATTTATTAATGTCTTGTATATGGAGAGATAAGCCAAAAGATGTATCTAATAGTTTGTTGAGATTTCTTGATAATTGATAAGTCCATTTCAAAAAATTGTAATTCTTTTCTTAAATTGTTCATATATTCAACAATTTTAGATTAATTGGCTTCTAAACTATATGCAAAATTAATATGTGTTGGAATATTTTTGAATGCCTTGTGCTTTTGATTTGGCATGATATAATATTTTTTAAGTAACTAGAAATTATTAAAAATGTATTTTATCAAAAAAATATTATTTGATCCCAATTTATTACTTCTATTAGAATTACTTATAGTTTCTTTTAGGGAGCTTTTACAAATATTTTATAAGTTTTAAATATGGTGATAAGATTTCAATTTCAAAGTCTAGTTCTATATTTTTCTTTATGTAAAAAAGTAATATGGTTTTTTACAACATTTTATAGAAAATGGTCTTCTTCAAGAGATTAATTAGTCATTATAATATATTCTTTTTTAATAATATTCCAAAATATATTTTTAAATTTTAATTTCAATTTCATCTACATTAAAAGTTTTATTTTTTATTATTTCTTTTATATTTTTATATTTAATATAATTAAAATAAAAAATAATTCATCATTTATATTTTATGTGATTTTGTAAGATGATGAGAGAGCTGTAATTTTAGAATGTGCTGAAAGACAAAAGACAACATTAACTTCATTTTCTGAAACATATACAGCAATGCCAATGGCAAGACAATATATATACTAATAGTTTCCACAACATTTTGTTTGGCATAAGATAAGAAGGACATGGGTATTAAAAATATGTAGATTTTGGTAGTTAAAGATTTTTTAATCTATTTATATTTATATAAAAATTTAATCTAATAAGTTAATATATATATATATATATATATTCTAATAATAGTTGAAAAATCTTCTATACTTGAAGAAGTTATTTAAAAAAAATCTAGAGTGAAAGAAATTTCATGTATATTTTTTAATTTTAACCAATATTTTTTTATAATATAAAGATTAATTACATGTTTTTTCCACCAAAATCATGTTACTTCCAAAAGCAAATGGGATATTTTCTATAATTATATCATCCAATTTAAGCCAAGTTTTGCTTCGATCTTGTTATTAATTGGATGTATATATATTGATTATATCAATAAAATCATTTAGAATGCTATTGAAAGTAAGCTAAAGAATCTTATTATCTATTAATTATCAAATATTGTTACTTACATGTTTAATTAATAATGAGATTAAAATGCATAATCCAAAAAGTCTTGCTATATTCAAAATATTAGCATAGCTAGGAATTGCTTTGAAGATGAAAAAACAACATAAGATTATAGAATGTTATTTAATTCTTGGGCCCTTCTACTACATAATATATGTTTTTATAAAAATTAAATATCACATTTTAGAAAGATGGTTTGAATATATCTTTGAACCTAAAGGATTTTAAATAGGCCATTTGATATACAAACATTATATAAAATAAGTTTTAAATTTAAAAAAGGATTAATAGAAGAGGGATCATATGACATATTATCATATAAGAGTTGTTAATGTAGAGATATATACATTTCTACTTTTTTTGCTATTAATTTCTTTTTTTTAATTCTTTTTATTTTTTAGATGCCTAGAAGAAATAAATTTCTAAAACAATCCATTACTTCACTTCTCATAAATAAGTCAAATGCAATATCATTTGATTTAATTAGAAGATTGATATAAGCACTTATTCACCTACAACTAGAGTATGGAAAACCATTAGTCCTATTAGAAGTAGATAGAAGCATGCCACTACTATCTATAAATATATTATTATTTTAATATTTAGAAAGTCTCAACATACTATTTGTTATTTTGTCAGAGGATTGAGAAGGATTAAAGTCTACTACAAATATTCTCAAGCCCTAATCAATGCTATAATGGTGAAGTAAGATGAATAAAATAACATAGAAATTGTGTAGTATTGTGCTTTATATGTCTGCATCCTAAATTGTATTTTGATGAGCCATCTAAAGTTAGAATAAAGTGATAGAATTATTAACTTGACCTAAGGAAATATTTGTCATGACTTTTACTATTTTGACTTGGTTTTTTGTTGTTGGTTTGTTTCTTTTAAGTCATATAATTTTAAGATGCTAATATTGATCTTATAATATACATTTTTTATTGGAGCAAGTGCGTAGTATTGATAGTTGATGGCACTTTATTTCTTATCAATATTTACTTTGATAAACATTTATACAAAGATTGCACCAAATTGATTCTTAGAGAATTTTACAACATTTTATTTTTAATATTGAGTTGAAATTATAGCTATAATAGTTGTCAATTTCTAAAAAATTAGAAAAGTAATCTAATATTAGAAATTATATATTATTAATATAAATTGATATAATTATATATTTTTATTTATTTATTTATTTTTACTTGATCTCATATTGAATTCTAGCATATGAATTGGAAGATAAAGCTTAAATGTTGTAGCTTGGAAATAGTTGTTTATTGTAGAATACAAATCATATGACAAATATATTTACTTAGTTTGAACTAATGGCTCAATATTATGTCTTCTTATTACATCCTTTCTTGTTTTCTATTTCTTTATACATACAAAAATAAAACCATTAAAAACAACATAATTAGTTCAAATAATCTTACAAGGTGGGGACAATGTTTTGACATAGAAGATATTAAGTGTTGGTAAAGAGAAAGTTTAACTATTGTGATGTGGTGCAAATCTTGTTCCAATTCTATATGTGACAATTGTTCTTTGACTCAGTTCTTATTAGGAGTAAGATAGTCTTTGATTCAATGGTTTATTTCTAAATAAAACAACATCTAATTGATAAATTAGTATAATCAATAAATACCAAATATTTTTATTACTCAAAAGATATATATATTACTAATATTTATATAGAAAGAGAAAGAATTATCCAACTTTTGTTTTAGTTTATTGTTCCAATTAATAAGGCTTAATTATTTTATTTTGCTATCCAAGAAGCATATAATAATTGTATTGCACCATAGATTTTAATTTCTTGTGACACCATATCTTGGTCTACAACAACCTCTCTTAGTTATATATGTGATAATAATCCTACATAATTTGTTGAGAAGCCTGTAGATATTATAAAAAAAAAATTAAAAAAAAAAAATTACATTGTGTGGAATAAAGATAGATATATTGTTAATAAATCTCAAACATACCTAGCATATCTTGCTTCTTGTTTAAATCTATTAGAAAGCATGATTCTAAATAATAACTTGTTTTTATACTTACCATTAGTATTTTATAGGTAGCAAAAAGATTGTCACTTCTATTTTCAACAAATGTCCTATTATTTTATTCCTTTTTCTTAGATCTTCATCTTGATACAACAAGACTTCATGTCATGAATCCCTGAAAGTAATTATAAAACGAAAAAAAGCAAAATCACAACTAAATACATCTTATTTGCATCATAATTTTCAAAAGATTGTTTTAACATGCCATGGCATGGCTAAGACTATATTTGTGGTTCACAAATGAGCATGGCTTTAAGAAATGAGTCTATCCTAATTTTCCTAATTTATTCCAATTTTTTTAATAAATATTTTTAAATTCATATTATACTCTTTTTTTATAGTATTTAATGCTATGATGAATTTCAAATTTTATTAGTGTTTATCATAAATAAATGTTAAACTCTAACTAATGTGATTTTAAAATTATTATATTTATATTTTAATTTAATTTTATATTAATAATAAAGATAAATAAGATTAATATATATAATTTAGATTAATAATAAATTATATATATATAGAAATTTACAAATACCACTACAATTTTTGCTATTGCCACCTCAATTTACTATCTACCACATGTCATTACAATTTTGCTTTTGCCATCACAACTTGCCATCCTCTTAATAAATAAATAAATAAATATATACATATTATTTTTATTTTAATAAAAAAAAATTGTATTTTTAAATTACATAAAGAAATAATTTTAATATTAACATAAAAAATTGATAAGTGAATTAGATTAATTTGTGATGACAATAGCAAAAAATGAAGTAACATGTGGTGGATGATAGATTAGAGTGGCAAGAAAAACTCGTGGTGGCATTAGCAACTTCCAATGTATATGTTTGTATAGTTTATTATCTCTCTACAATTATATCAATTCATGACTCTAAATTATTCTTTTTGCAAGAGCAAACTTGTAAGAAATTATCCTACGAAGTGAATTATAAGAAGTTAATGCATTAATCTATTATGATACAAACATCTGATACAATTTTAAAAAATTGAATTTGGAAAAACGTGCTCAAAACAATAGATATTCATTACAGGTTTTGATGCTGATTTTTATATTATTTTAAAAAGTAATTATATTTTTTATTTAAGTATTTCATAGGTATATTTCATGCACACTGTATAGAATTATCAAAGTACATAAAAATTATAATATGTACATATTTTTGTAATCTCAAATTTATTTAATTGCAACAAAATAATTTTTATTTATTTTTAATTTTCAGACAGCTTCAGATTTTTAGAATTTTTGTTTTATGATATCCACCTTTATGTTGATGGGACATCAAAATGTGTTATCTGTTTTATTATATACATGGATATAAGACTGAAAACGTAGAACTTAAAGCACAAATGTATGAACAGTGAAATGATTCTAGATTTAAATCAATCAATCAAATTAAAATTGTTGGATTACATGTAAAAGCCACTCCCAATGCATAATTTCATTTACTATCTTCAATAAATAAATAACAATATATATATATATATATATATATATATATATATATATGAAAGGTACAATTTCTCTTTTAAATCACCAAAACATTTTAACATTGCACATGCAACAAACTTTGTTCATTATTCTTCAAATATCTATAAATTGTAAACAAAATTTTCCAACTTTCAAACATGTATGGGTACATCACACATGCACACATTCATGCACACTTTTTTGTCATAAAATTTTCATCACAATGAAATTTTCAACAGCTTTTCTTTCCAAAGCTTTTCACAATCTTTAGTAGTACAGAACCACACCTTGATAAATCAATCTCTAATACACAACCTTGGGAATTATGTCATTGAAATCAACCACTCCATTGAGACTTGTGCATTCAACAATGACATCACAATTTAATGTAAAACCTAATAATAGTTCAGCTCTGTGTCCACAAAAAACATCACATCTCTTAGTTCAATGCAAGTCAGAGGGGCATTAGAAAACATTCTCACTGCCCACTGAGCTTGCTAGGCAACCACCAGGCAGTGGGTGTGGCCCACTTCATCATGCAACCCAAGATAACCAGCCCTGCACAAATCTGGATTTTTAACACCCAAACTCTTGAAAGCCTAAATATGTGCAACCCGATGTCTGATCTGGCAAATTATCAAATTTTTGGAATGCAACAATGACAATGCATAAAAACCATGTATTACTTCTGGGACTATAATAAAATGATGAAAGAGAATGTTAAAAAAATAAAGAGTACCATGGAACAAACTTCAAGCCTAAAATTGCTAATAACAACTTGCAAAATAATAATAGGCTGTAATGAAGGTTTTTCTGCGAATGGAAACCAATTAAGTCACTTTCGCAATCACAAGTTCCGAAGCTAGGGCTTAACGATTGCCCACGGCGCAATTGCTTGCAGCACCTGGACTCGTAGTTGCGTTAGAAGCGCACATCAAGGATTGATAGGAGTGAAGTGCAGGACGGTGAGCTTTTGGACTCCGAGATGGTGGCATGGATCTGGGTCAAGAAGTGACGGCGAATCCTTGTGGCACCAGTCACACCCAGCCAGTTAGTTCGAGAGGTTGTCATGGATGAGAAGCGCGAGGCACATGGATGGTAGACGACGACGACCCTTGCTTCCTGGATAATGGCTCGTTGCGATGTTGGTGAGCCGGGGGAGGGAGCTCTATGATAGAACGCCATAGCCATTGGCTACAGGAGAATAAGACGGAGGGCATAGCGATTAGAAGTCACACTGAGACAGCTCCCCACAGCACGCACTCACTCACTCATCAAGTCGTGTCAGCCACGCTCAACAATCCCCTCGACGCGTTCCAGACGTGGCCACTCACGTTCCCCTGCGTACCCTCCTCCCTACCGGAGTGCCGGGGGCTACGGATCATGAGCAGGCCGGACCACAAGGTTATCAGCCTGTTAGTCTTGATAAGAACTCCAAACGGCGACAGCGAAGGCACCCTAATTAGGAAATCCACCTCCACACTTGGAACAGGAATCCGAAGGCTTCCCTAGCCAGCAACTCATCCACGCACTGAGAAGTTGTATGCAATCGCAGGTAGGCTAAAGTCACACACTTCCTAAAGACCCAACAAACCGCTTGGCGATCGACGTTCTCACTTCCAGCACAGGGAGACAGAGAAAACAGAAGAGAAAAAAAGAAAGAAAGATAGAAAAAGCGCAGCTAGTGTAAGTCGGAATCGGCGTTCAGATGTTGAAGCAGCAGTGTGTAATGCTTGCGATTCGCTTATTGCAGGTCGGAACGGAGACAGATGGATGAGGTTTGGTCGCCGACCGCGTTTGCTAGGATAGCGGTGAGACATAGGGTTGCTCATATCGGACACTGAGGCCGTCCGGGGCATTTGAACGTCTGACTGCGGGACGGCGACTAGCTAGAGGAGTGAGGTTTCGTCTCTGGAACTCTAGTATTATGCCAGGGCAAGGTAGAGGCCCAGCCTTCCGCATTGTACCCTGACCCACTTTACGTAAACTCCCCCCCCCCCACCTCTCTTTCCAGTTACACTCGCTTAGCGGCCAGGTCGCTCGCGAGGTTACCCAATCTGTCGTAGGGGGTTCGTCGATCAATTTTTGGTTGCGCTTGGTATCGAAACCGAGGTTGTCCATGGCGAAGGATGTCGCGGCTGGAGCAGGAGGTTTGAGTTTTTGGAGTTGCTGGTCGTCGCCTGCGTCTCCGCCCAGTGAAGGTTAGGTAGAGAGCTTAGGCAGTGAGCGTGGCGCATTCTGGGGCGGGGAGAATTGGCTGGGCGTGATATTGCCGAGGTTTGCTACAGTTGTGGAGTCGGAACAGCAGCGTGCGGGAGGAGGTATTTTTCTTGGAGGTTAGGAAGGGGCTGTGGCGCGGCGGGGCTAGGTCGGGAGGGCATGATCGGATGAAGAGCGCGAATTGGATGTCGGAGTTCAGCTCGCGGTGTGTTTTGTGTTTCTGTTTGGAGGGAGCGTAGTCCGGGGGAGGGGGTGAGTGATGGGGCGGGGGAGGCAGAGGATTGAGAACCCGCCGTGGAGGCAGAAGCCTGGCAGCGGAGGGGACGGGAGCTTTTCGGCGTTGGGGTTGGAGGAGGGTCCGGTGTTCTACCCTACGGAAGAGGAATTCCGCGATCCTTTGCAGTTTATTGCGCAGATTCGAGAGCAGTCGGAGCCGTATGGCATCTGTCGTATTGTGCCTCCCGAGTCGTGGAAGCCTCCGTTCGCTATCGAGTCGGAGTCGTTCATTTTCCCGACCAAGCACCAGTCCATCCACCAGCTTCAGGAGAGGACCGCTGCGTGCGATAGGGACACGTTCAAGCTGGAATACAGCAGGTATTTGGAGAGAGAGGGGAGGCAGTTGGAGGCTTGGCCCGTGTTGGATGGAGAGGCTCTGGATTTGTGCAAGCTTTACAACGCCGTGAAGCGGCACGGTGGTTACAATAATGTTAGGGATGAGAAGAAGTGGGCGGAGGTGTTTCGGATGGTGAGGGACGACTCTCTCCAGGCCCCCGTCGCCACGGACTCGGTGTTGGCGTGTCTGCGCGAGGTGTACGAATCCCATCTTCACGGCTACGAGGTGCACCAGGCCAATGTGAGCGCCGGTAAGCTGCTGCGCATGAGCAAGAGCCGGGGGATGGACAAGACGAAGCACGTGGGGAGGAAGAGGCAGGGGGAGGAGGAGCAGCAGGAGGAGATGCAGGGTGGAAAGAGGAGGAAGAGCGGGGAGGGAGTGGAGGTGGTGGCGGTGGAGTCGGCGGGCGTGACGGCGGCGGGCATGGAGGAGCAAAGGGTGGATCAGATATGCGAGCAGTGCCACAGCGGAGCGTACGAGAAATCGATGCTGCTGTGCGATCGGTGCAACCGAGGATGGCATCTGTATTGCCTGTCCCCTCCGCTGTCCGCCATACCTCACGGGAACTGGTACTGCTTGGAGTGCCTGGCATCGGAGAACGACAGTTTCGGGTTCGCGCAGGGGAAGGAGTACTCATACGAGTCGTTCCAGCGTTTTGCGGACCGGTTCAGGCGCAAGTGGTTCGCATCGCGGAGCAGCCCCCCGAGCAACTCCGATGTGGAGGCGGACTTCTGGCGCATAGTGGAGAGAGGGACAGATCCGGTGGAGGTGCTGTACGGGAGCGACATAGACACGGGGCTATACGGGAGCGGGTTTCCACGAGCCTCGGACCGCGTACCGCACGGGTTTAAGGCGGAAGTATGGGAGGAATATGTGAAGGACCCATGGAACCTGAACAACTTCCCGAAGCTGGAGGATTCGATGTTGCGGATGGTGCAGGATGACATTCCGGGGGTGATCGTGCCGTGGTTGTACATGGGGATGATGTTCTCGTCGTTCTGCTGGCACTACGAGGACCACTGTTTCTACTCGATCAACTACTTGCACAGGTACGTGAGTCGGCGGAGGAGGGTAGGCGGCAGTGGTGGGGATGTTTTGGTACTGTGGTTCCTGGTTGCGTCACGGTCTTCGTGAATTCACAGCGGACTGGGCGATCCTGGTCGTTCCGGTGGTGATGGCCTCGTGGGTGCGACGCGAGGGGCGTTGGGTCCGGGTGGTTTGGAAGCTGTATAGAAGCATGGGTGCGTGGCGAGGTTCATGAGGGTGCCGATGAGCATGGTGGTCTCCGAGGCTGGGATGGGTGGAGGCGACCGGGCTGTGGAATGGCGTTGTGCGTGGAACGAGGAGAGGGGGCGTGTTTTCTGCGTAGTTGGCATGGGTGTGGGGTTGCGGGGATGTGTTTGTTGGGCATGGGAATGTGGGACTGACTGGTTTTACTTGTGGTGATGCGGCAGAGGCGCGCCGAAGACATGGTACAGCGTTCCCGGGAGCGCTGCGACGGAGTTCGAGCAGGTAAGCGCAGAATTGATGTGGAGGGAGATTTGGTAGGAGAACATGACATGTTGCGGGACGGGTGGAGGGGATTGTGGTCTGATAGAGGATGGATTGCATGGGTGGTGCAGGTGATGCAGAAGTCTTTTCCGGACCTGTTCGAGGCACAGCCAGACTTGCTGTTTCAGTTGGTGACGATGCTGAACCCAACCGTGCTGCGGGACAGCAACGTGCCTGTGTGCACCACGACACAGGTGAGGCGTGGCGGTTAGTTTGTGTGGAAGTTTGGGTGGGTGACGGAAAAGCTGGTTGGGTGCAAATGGATTGCAGTGAGCGTGTCGGATGTGAGTGACGGTCAGTGTGGGCAGTTGTGAGACGAAATGAGGTGGCATCTTGGTTGTTGCGTGATGAGGCGATCGGGTGAGGTGTGTAAGAGTAGCAGGTGTTCGAACGGCGGACGTGCAGCATCATTGGGCGGTGGTGCCGCACGGTGTAGGATTACAGCTGTGTGAGTGAAACCGTGCGTGGTTGTGATGATGTGGCAGGAAGCTGGACATTTTGTGATAACGTTTCCAAGGTCGTACCACGGGGGCTTCAATCACGGTGAGGAGGAGTGTTGAGAGGTGAAAATGAGATGCTGAATGATGTGTGTGGAAGCGCGCGTGGGCGGAGCAGTGTGTTTCCGGATCCCACGATGCGGAGAACGCTGTCGTGTTGTGGAAAAGTCGGGGGAGGGGTGGAGTGAGCGTTGTCGCTGATGTGGGGTGATGTGTGATGGTTTTGGCAGGGTTCAATTGTGCGGAGGCTGTGAATTTTGCTCCAGCAGATTGGCTACCGATGGGTGGATTCGCAGTGGAGCGGTATCGGCTTTACCACAAGCGAGCCGTGATTTCTCACGACGAGTTGCTGTGTGTGGTTGCCAAGGTATGTGACGTCGCGGAATGGAGTTTGGCTTCCGCATGTGCTTTTTCCGGCATTCCTTGGTTTGTGTGTGTGTGTGTTGTGGCGTGGTGTGGCGTGGTGTGGCGGGAGGTCGTGAGAGGTGGAAGTCCAGCAATGAGGACGTTGTGCATGTGGCGTAGAGTGGGGTGGGGGCACGAAGTAGGTGATGTTCATGGAGCACGAATCCCTAATCTGCTCCATGAACACGAGGTTGGTTTGTGGAGTAATGCTGGTGTGTGGACACGCAGAACAAGATCAGTGCAGAGGCAAAGCCCTACGTGCGGAATGAACTGGTGGCGATAATCAAGAAAGAGCGCGCTCATCGCGAGCAGCTTTGGGCAAATGGTGTAGTAAGGAGTGCACGGATGCCTCCTCGAGCATGCGAGAATCACATCAGCACAGAAGAGGTGAGTGGGTTGGGTTATGTATGTAGTCCATAGGTGATGTGATTGCAGTGGCGTGATGGAGTTAGGGGGTGCATCATGCTGAGCTGTGAAATGGGGTTGGCAAGCTGAGATGGCGGCCCGCTGATCGGGATACAGGTGGGATTAGTGAGAGACCAGTCGGTGCACGAGTTTGGGATCTGTGTAAGCGCAGGAATTGTTTCGTGGAGGAGCTGAACAACGCTATGGAAATATGTGGTGTCGTGGACAATCCTGGAGTGGAGTAGGCGTAAAAGTAGTGGGTTGTGGCATGGGGATGCAGTGAGGGGAGTAGTCCAGGGGCTTAGAAGCTGTTAGAGAGTGCAGTTTCGCTGTTGTATGTGTGGCGAAACCTCAGTGATGGCGGATGGGAGTGTAAGTGTGGAAGGTGGATGCATGGAGGGTTGGGGAGGAGGTAGAGGGTGGGGTGGCCTGTCGGGGTTTTTGTCAAAGTTGTCAAGGGCAATAGGTAGGAGCACAGGGATGGGGTGCGACGATTGTTTGTTGACTTGGTGATGTGGTTGGTATTGTGTTTACTCGGTGGCAGGATCCGATGTGCATCATTTGCCGTTACTACCTGCATTTGTCTGCAGTAGTGTGCAGTTGCCGCCCTTCGAAGGCCGTCTGTTTACAGGTTCGAGTTCTATCCTGTGTTTATCCTGGCCATGATGATAAGATTTTGGGAAGTGGGGTTGGCATGGATGACGCGTGCAGCAGCACTGGGTATGTGGAGTGATGGCGTGTTGTGGTGGCGAGTGGAGGGCGAGGTCGTGGGCTTTGGGCGACGGTGTAGGCCTTGTAGGATGGTGGAACGAGGTGGGGTGTGTGGTATCTGACGGAAAGGCGTGTGGTAGTGCAGCATGCTCGGCAGCTGTGCGAATGTCCGGCAGAGCAGCAGATGCTGTTGTATCGACACTCTCTTGCCGAGCTGGACGACCTGCTGGTGGAGAAAGAGAGCGCAGTCGATATTAAGGTTGGAGACCTTGCTGCGCAGTCTGAGCCTACGAAACGCAGTGTGCGTCGTGGCGCTCCTCCCCTTACCCAGTCCATGTCTAAAAAGGTTTGGTCGGTATGCTTTGATCTGATATGGTCTCAGAGTAGGTGGATAGTAATGGGTGCTGCATGCAGTGAGTGCGTGGTGTTGGGTGCACATGGAGAGGAGGGCGAGGTTCGGGTTGGAGTGACGTGGAGCTAGGTCGTGTTTCTGAGGAGGGTTGTTATTCGCGTCATATGGGTGGGAGTTGGATCTGAAGGTGGGAAGAGTGTGATGCGGGGTGGTTGGTGATGCCTAACTAGCGGGTGTTACGGCAAGGTGTGGTTTGGCAGTGGAGTGGTGAAGGTGCGGTACAGAGGGCGGGTGGGGGGTAATGCGTTGTTGTGGTCGGAGAGCAGGCACGACTGTGAGTGCAGCAAGATGTAACCGGGGTGTGTTTGGGTCAGGTGTTGGGCCGAGTGCTGAGGCAGACGGATCTAGCGGAAAAGTGGCTGGAAAAGGTGCAGCGAGTATCACACGCGAGTCCAACGATCGAGTTTTTGGAAAGCGTGCTCCGAGATGCGGAGCAGTTCCTATGGGGGGGTCATGAGATGGATGAGGTAGGTTGCTGCGAGCGGTGAGCTTGGTGGGGTGGTTGGTGTGTGGCACGGCGGGTGCGGAGGGAGCAGGTTGGGGAGGGTAAATGGTGCATGATAGTTGTGTAGAAAGTTGGTTTTGCATGGACGGGGCGATTGGATTCGAATGAGAGTAGGGGAACGGTTTGGGCGGCCAACATTGACGAGGCAATGGTTCTGTGGATACAGGTGAGGAAGGTGGAGAGGAAGCTGGCAGCAGCCCGGAGGTGGGCGGATGAAGTGGCGGAATGTGCCGTTTCGGTGAATGACGGACGGGTTCCCAAAGTTACGTTCCGTGTGTTGGAACGTTTGGTGGGCACGGAGCCGGTGCCATGCATCGAGTCTAATCTCGCGTTTGTGAAGGTAGTGACATTCGGTCATTATGCCACGTGGGATTGTGTTTTGATGGTGTTGTGAGGTGGTGGAAAGTCGGGCGTGAGAGATTGTGACGCCAGGGTCGCTGGGTGGAGCAGCGATGTGGGGATGATTCAATGTGACGTGGGTGGAGGTGTGCTTACGATGATTGTGGTTGCGCGCAGATGCTGTATGAAGACGCAAAGCGGATGCGGGAGAAGATAACGGGGTTTGTGTTGACAGAGCCATGCCTGCAGGTATGGGATTACGCGAGCATGATGGTGGTGGGCGTGTGATGCGAGTGTGCGTGTTGCGGTTGATTATGTTGGAGGTGGTAGAGTGTGGTGGTGTAGATTGTTGATGATTGTGGA